GTTCTACATGTGCTGGCGCTGTTAACAGTCTGCGCGCCAACCGCACTGTAGGGCGCATTCATAGTCAGTCGTCCAATCGTAGCGATCGCACAGCGTTAGATCTTATGATTGCGCAACATCTTCTCAGGAGCTCGCCATCGCTCGCATCCAAATGTCGTGCGATCGTTACGATACGACGACGACTGTGAAATGCGACTTACTACTAGTAAGTTTAAGCAATAATGGGTAAGAGGCGCTAAGCAAGATGAGTGGTTAAGTTCGAGTCTTGGCTTTTTGCTTGTTCTATAAGGTCCTGATGGTGTTCACCCAGATACAGTGGGTATACTCAAATATAAGGTCACCAGTGTTTTGATGCAGTCGTCTAAACAAGCGTAGGTAAATGGGGTTTGAAGGCTGTCCTGTTTTCTTACCTTGTTCGTGTGCCCGACGATCATTGTTCGGTCACGAGTTTCTGTTCATTCTCATAGCAATCAAAAAGCTTGAAAAGTACGGATAGACATAATGCACGTAATACAAGGAAATTTCACGTCGATTCCATCATTCATTCTTATTTCTTCTTGATTTCACCGATTATTCGGTGGCGTTTCTGTTGCAGCTTTTTGCCAACATGTCTTCCTAGAAGTCTGTTCCCCGATCGGTTCCAAAAACTTCCTTTTTGACAGATGATTCTCCTAGATTTATTTGTCGTTGATGTCGAAGGTGCCGTAGGACCCATTACTCATGTGTGGCCAGGTTGTTGTGTTCCCCGTGGTGGGGTTCTAAAGAAAAATATCAAAATCAGTGCGGTTTTCCACCTCAGTCCTTCTAATTCAATCATTGACGGCTTTTCGTTCGCTGCTGCTTTCTTTGGGCGCTCATGTCCTTTGGAGGGGGAGACATTCAAAACAGGGCATATGGAACCGCCAGCTACTATTAGGCCCAGGAGAGAAGAAAAACGCCAGGGAGAAAATAAGTTGCTCACGTCTTTGAAAATCCCTTCCTCTGCCTAAGTGCTCACGGGGTGTGGTTCACTAGGACAGAAAGCGACTTTTTCGCGTTTCGCAGCGCGAACATTTTCCGCTGCGGGAACCTCAGGTCCACCGCTGATCATCAGTGGACCCGAGATTCCCGCAACGAACAAGTCGCTTTCTGTGGGAAACCACACCCTGGCTCTCTCACTTGCATGTCCCTTCTCACCCCCCCCCCCCCCAAGACATGAGCGTCCATCTTTGTTGTTAGAGTACTTCTCATGAATTTGTCGCCTCTGATTTGAATTCTTTATCAACCGCGATCAAGTGTTCAGCGATATTTAAAATTGCTTGTAAGCTTAGCTTACTGAACGCTAAAATTTGTTCTGGTAAAGTTTTCAAGAATGCCTTTGCAACCCTCCCTAAGCGGTCCTACAGATGTAATGAGTGTCAGGAGAGCTTTCTTATATTTTATTGGTTTTCGTGTTTTGATACTTGCGAAATTTGTCGTGAATTTATTCGCAATCTCAGAATGGTGTTATATTTTGGAATTCTGCCGCGGTGGCGTCTGTGTGTTTGTTGTTTTTCCGCACGGCTATAAATTTGTTTTTTGTATAAAGCCTTAAAATTGATTGATTATATAGCGTTTATGCGGTTTTTAACCGCTGTTTATTGTTCCGACGTTTGGCGAAGGTTTGCAGTAGTAAGCGTGGAGGTCGTGTTGAGCGGTGTCGGGTCGTCGGGCGGCAATCTTGCTCCGTCGGGGGCCTCGCCTTTCTCTTGATCGATAGAACGTGGTCCGTCCGTCTCTTTCCCATGTAGCGAGCGCAGGCATCCTCAATGGCGCTGATCCCGCCGACGCATGCGTCCTTTCAATCGACGCTCTTGTCCGGTTTAACCTTGCTCTCCGTTTGGTCTTTTCCAGTGGGCAGTTTTTCCTTCATCATGTTGTCGTTCACATTTGTGTAATCGTTCTTTGATATTTGCGAGATTGTCGTGGCCGTGAACGTGCCGTTTTTTGCCGTTCGTCGCTTTTTGAACCATTTTTTCAGGTAAACTGACGGATCCATCATGTCGCTCTCGACGACGATTGTGAGAGGCGCCAACAAACTCATCGTCAAGGTACAATGTTTACAGTAGCGAATGCGTCATTATCAGTGCACGTTATCACTATTCCCGTGGTGTAATCTTTACCCGCCGCGCAAGAAGATCGGCACGATGAGTGTTCTTTGGTAGAGGTGACATCAACAACAGGCTCGCTAAACGTGATCTTAGCACTGTTCGCCTACTAGTTGTTTCACAAATTGCATCGCTATTTTTAGGACCTGGTCGCCGTGGTTTATATGTGTGTTTTGTCTTGTGAAAAGCTTCAGTCATTAGGTGTTGCCAAGTATTTATGTGCCACCTAATTTTGACGCTTCCCTGTGTGTTATAGAAAGGTTCGAGTGTAGCAGTCGTTTCAAACTCCAATGGTAGTAACTCTGTTTTGTGGGGGCTCTGTAAAATTGACTATGCATCAGGTGATCAGTAATATGTGATGTCCTCAGGCTGGTGTCAGAGTCCGCGATCCGTCGCAGGTTTCGCGCGATTTTCGCGATTCGCGCGACGGGTCACGGAAATCACAAGTGCCCGATCAATACTGCAAGGTGTTCTCCAATCCCGCCGCCACTTCTGCTTGATAGTGATGGCTGAATGACGACTGCTCATGATTCCACTTGTTTCATATTCAGTGTTTCAAATGTTCAAATGGGCACTTGCAATTTTTGCGATCGCGCGAATCGCGCGAAACCTGCGACGGATCGCGGACTCTGACACCAGCCTAAAGCTTTCGCCGATTCACCCTCCTTGTCTGGGCCCTTGAGGAGCTCGTCACTTTTTGAGCATGATCCTCACTATTGATTAACGTGATCGTACATGAAGCTCGTCAATAACGTAGTGATATTAATATTCCACAAGAATGCTGGGTTTGTGAACAAAATTTTCGCCCAAACGGGACTCGAACCCGCACCTCTTGCTTACCGGGCAAGCGCGCTTACGACTTTACAAAACCATGCTACGCGGTGCAATTTCATTCACAACTCGAGGCTTTTTCATGGCATATTTCCTAAACCTAGCATTCTTGTGGAACATTCGCAAGGCGAACTGCGGCCAAAAACAGCAGTTGACAAACAAAATCAAGATATTAATATTAGTAATATTAATATACGATAAAGCTGTATTAAATTAACGATTAGGAAGGGTAAATGTACGCGGTGAACAGTGTCTTAGTTGTGCCTCTTCTTTCACGAGGGTCACATTGAGAGTGTCACATTTTCTGAGGTAGGGGGGGAGTGACAGATTTTCTCAGGAAATGGGATGAAACGCGACCTCAAGACATCAACCCATGCCTTACTCTGGTTCCTATTCCTCTTTGCTTGAATCGTGGGATTGTACATTGAAGACGGCATGGAATGCTGTCCCAAGCTTTCCTGACCGGCGCTGGTATGTGAGGAAACTGCTTAAATAAGTGTACCCTAAAATCAATTTAAAGCCATTCCCACGCCTCGGGACCTCGCACTATAGGTTAATGACCTGGCTCCGCAGCTTAAATCTTGTTTACGCTTGTTCGGATGCAGCTGTTCGCAATTAGATTACAGCGGTACTGGCTGGGAAATAGTAAGATTCGGTAATCTCCATCAGTTATTTTTCTTTATATCTCAACTTAATATACCATACACACAATTTCAAATTTCAAACAATTCAAAACTCCAAGTTCAGTATTGATCTAAGGCCGCGGTAAAATGACGTAAGCAAACCAGCCCTTTTGGCGCTTCGGCTGGGACCGTATGCTGAATGTTGGGGAGGGGATGGAGTCCCCGACGGTGGACGGACCACTTCAACTCGGTCCTTAGAACCGCCACAATTTGGTGCTTACCTCAGAACTAAGCCTTAAAGAGAGGACGGGTCCGTCCCCTCTCCAAGGCTTAGTCCTGGGGTGAGCAAACCAGCCCTTCTGGCGGAGCTGCTGGACCAGCTGCACCACTTGCGTCAGTACTCTCCTATCGTACCAACCGAGTTGAAGTAAACCGTCGACCGTTGGGGACCCCATCCCCTCCCCAACATTCAGCATACGGTCCCAGCCGAAACGCCAAAAGGGCTGGTTTGCTTACCTCCGAGAGCACCCCCGACTCGTGCGCGTTCGCCGCGGCCACGTCTTAAAGTGTGAAAAAGTCACGGGGTCACTTTCATCCAAACGCCTTTCCTAAGACCACTAATACTACTCATCTCCAAAACCGAAAAGCACAAATATGACCCTCATCGGGATTGGTCATACACAGAGTGAAATCGATGAGAAAATCGGCGGGCGTCTTTAGTTGAAACCTACCCACTCCATTCCTGAATGTGATGTTTTTTTCGGTCAATCTGATGTTACGATTGCGATGACCTTCCTTGTGTACTGCACTGCTCCTCATATTGGTCATTCCACCTTCACTTATTGGGAGAACTGCAGATTGAAGTGTCAGTAAGAGGAGCGATGTCTATAGAAAACCCATCCGGTACGCTTCCGGGCGTGAGTGACAAGACGCCGTGTCGCTCCGAACATGATCACTCATGGAAGACAAGATAGGGAAAAAACAAGGCGCCTGTTGGAGAGGAGGTGGGGCATCAGGTGCACAGGAAATCGCATTCACGTGGTCTGTTGAGTGCATTGAAAGCAAACTACACTAATACAGAAAAATGCTGCAATTTAAGAAATCATGGAACAATTTGGTTTGGCTACATGGTCACTTCTCAGCATTGTAATTAGCCGAATGTGCATTATAGTTCTTTATGTCATAGTGACCTTGCCTTAGCGCTTTTTTATGGAAGAGTTGATGGCGCATCTATACTGATCAGTCTCGTTCAGGCAGCCGTAACTCCAGGCATGTTCAACCGTTCACTTTTCCACGCAAGTGGATCAGTCCACGAATCTGAAAGAAGTACTCGCCAAGAAAATTCCTGCTCATAACGCCAAGGTTAAGGAGTTCCGCTCACAACACGGTGGCACCGTCATACCAGAATATCACCGTTGACATGGTGAGAGCTGCGATTTGATTAGTTCGACGATGAAGCTCTGAAATTTTTCTTATTTTCGATATTACATAACGCTTATTTGAATTGCTTGCTTCAGATTTATGGTGGAATGCGTACCATGAAGGGAATGGTCACTGAAACTTCAGTACTTGATCCTGAAGAAGGTATTCGATTTCGTGGATACTCAATTCCGGAATGCCAGAAGATGCTACCGAAAGCACCTGGAGGTGAAGAACCTATCCCTGAAGGAATATGGTGGCTTCTCTGCACTGGCGACATTCCAAATGAGAAACAGGTGATGTTGCATCCTTCTTGATTAATTTCTTTCAATAATAAGTATTTGTTGAAAAATGTATTTTTATAGTCGATTTGTTTTGTAAATTGTTGAATTACAGACGTCCGCTATCACAAAGGAATGGAATGCTCGCGCTGATCTCCCAGCCCACGTAGCTCGCATGCTAGACAACTTCCCTGACAATCTCCATCCAATGGCTCAGTTTGTGGCAGCAATTGCCGCTTTAAACAATGAGAGCAAATTCGCGGCCGCTTATGCTCGCGGTGTTCCTAAGAGCAGCTATTGGGAGTATGCTTATGAGGTTTGTAGACTCATATCCATAGACCAGGCTAGAATGTGAGTCGATCGGCATTTTTAGGACTCAATGGATCTCCTTGCAAAACTGCCTACTGTTGCTGCAATTATTTACCGCAATCTTTATCGGGATGGATCAGCTGTGGGCGTGATCGACCCCAAGAAGGACTGGTATGTGCTTTTCTGTTATACAACCGAGTTTTGAATGAGAAGTGTTTGAGTTTAGGTCCGCCAACTTCTGCTCGATGTTGGGATATGATGACCCTCTTTTCTGTGAGTTAATGAGACTCTACCTCGTCATTCACTCTGACCACGAGGGTGGCAATGTCTCTGCACACACCTCTCATCTCGTTGGTTCCGCTCTTTCGGATCCTTACCTCTCGTTCTCTGCTGCAATGGCAGGTCTCGCTGGCCCATTGCACGGGCTTGCTAATCAGGAGGTAATTTTTCGACTTTATTCCTATTTTGATTACAGCATGACCTGTATGAACACGTGTTTTATTTTTTATTTTATTTTATTCTGTTCAGGTCCTGGTGTTCCTCAACAAAATTGTTAGCGAGCTTGGATTTAACTACACGGAAGAGCAGTTGAAGGAGTGGGTGTGGAAGCACTTGAAGAGTGGACAGGTAAAAAAAGTATACGAACATTTTTTCTGTTGAGCTTACATCAAATCTACACGGGTTCAGGTCGTTCCTGGATACGGTCATGCTGTGCTGCGCAAGACCGATCCTCGTTATGAATGCCAGCGTCAGTTCGCTCTGAAACATCTTCCCAAGGATGACTTATTCAAACTTGTGTCAACTCTCTACAAGATCACTCCCGATATTTTGCTTGCCCAGGGCAAGGTATGTTTGATATTCCTATCTCCGATTTCCGTTGTATTTTCCAGCACATTTTGTTCCTTGGTGGTGTCATAAATGTTGTAATGCTCCGAAGGTATAAATTACAGGCGAAGAACCCATGGCCAAATGTGGACGCTCACTCTGGTGTGCTGCTGCAATACTTTGGCATGAATGAAATGTCATTCTATACAGTTTTGTTCGGAGTGTCTCGTGCTCTTGGTTGTCTCTCTCAGCTGATTTGGTCACGTGGAATGGGTCTGCCACTGGAGAGACCGAAGTCCCATTCAACGGAAGGACTTAAGAAACTTGCAGCTGCAGCCAAAAAGTAGTTATACCTGCGATCTGTTAGTAATAGTTATTAGTTATAGATTTTAAGATTTGAAATATATCTATGGGTTGAACCTTTTTGATTTGCGGAATTTTTCTTTTCATAAGCTTTCTTATTTCGATATGGATTGAGGAAATTGGTGTTCTTTAATAATCCATGTTGCATCGATTGGCTCTGTTTTGCCGCCTTTTTAATATTGTTAATAAAGTGTTAATAACTTCAGTGCGATCTATTCAAAATGAAAGTGGTCTGGTCATAATAGTAGATTTCGTATACTTGAGTCTAGTCTTTACAGCGGCTTCTTGACTCTGACCGCACTTTGTTTTTGGCCTTTTTATCAGTTGCTGTTATCATCGTCAAAATAAGTGGTCTTGTTTATGAGTAGACCGTTCTTACGGCGGGAGTGCATGTTCCTATTTTCTGGCACTTGAACGAGCAGCTGCGAGCAGGGGACTGTCTCAAGGTTTTTGAAATTGAAGTTATATAAGAACAGATGGTTTGTTTGTTGAGATCCGTGTGCAGGAATGAGCTAAAGAAAACTAATTAGTCAAAAAGTCGCATCCGGGTATCTTCAACCAGATAAGTTGGGGGTCGTTTTAGATTGTTGTTTCGGAATTTAAAGGGGACGTTACGTATTCTTTGCTCATTTGAGCTGTTAGTAGAGGCGGAAGAATGTGCGTGAAAAATCCGGGAGGAAATGACTTGGCACCTGCAAAATGGAATCGTTCTAATCCTCTTTGATTTTTGCTTTAGAAGAGCTAGTGACTCTGCCGAGCTTGTTTGCATGTGTTGATCCCGATAGCTCGTACCACGCCAACAATACCATTCTTTTATTGATACCGCTTAAAGGCAGTGATTACGATAAAGTGGAAGCGCATTGGGGAAGCATAAGAACCACACGAATTAGTTACGTGGCTGCCATGGAAGCGAGGTGTAGCGCTTTCACGATAGAACGTTCGCTGGTTGCTGAGGCATGTCTCGAAAAACATCCGCCCAAAACGAAGCCACTGGTTTGTTGTCCTAGCACTGGCACAACGAAGCCAAACTCGATGAAGTGTGGTTTCATGGTGTTACCACTCGCTGCGCTTAAGTCCCGTGTATACCGCCCATGCTTTCTGAGTCTGAGTCGGATACGACTTACGAAAATAATCCCATTTCTGTCGTTTTTTGACAGATTTCTCCGCTTTCCTCGCCACCGAAGAATAATTGAGCACCATTACGTCTCCTCTAAACGTCCTTGAACTATCTACGTGATCAATCCTGGGGGGTCCATCAAATGCTAATCTGACCCTTAAAATTCAAATCTCACCTTGGGGGGTTCCCTTAAGCTATATGACCCGACCCTTAAGGTGCGAAAACACGTATAAAAGCAACCCCGCACGGTCTTTAAGCAAAGGGTGCCTTCCAGCTCTCGGCTTTTGTAAAGGTTAGCGGGTTTTGTCATCGTTCATGGCTTTTATCCCTTAGTTCTTCTTCTTGTAATCTGAAATGACGGTTGGATGAATTGTTTCAAGAATATGCTTCGATTTGCAGGCTCCGAAGAAGGCGAGTGCGCCGAAACGTAAGCCGAAATAAAGTTCTGTATCAATCTCGGAAGCTCGAAGAGAAGCAACTAATACCTCCTTGAACTTATCGTAATCGCTGCCTTTAAATTAATGCAACATCCTCCGCAGAAGTATCGAAGGAATCTGTTCAGTGAGTGGAGTAGAGTAGCCACGAGTAGCACAGATGTGCCGTTGTCACGGCTCGAAAGTGTGCGACAATGGCGCTAGGGTCTTACAAAGTCACATTGGCACTTGGCGACTGATCTTGGCATTTGGACGAGCTATGTTGCGCACAATCCACGCAACGTGGGTTAATGCTATTTCAACACTAGTTTGGCCGTGGAGCAGGCGGCTCGTGCAACTACCCATCCTTTTTTCGGGGTTTTTAGTTTTGGGCTTCATCGACAGTTTTCTTCGCTTCTTTTTTTTTAGTCAATTCGGCATCCGCAACTTCATTACCAACCGCTGTGACCCCACAAATTCGATTTGGGGATATTGCTTCAACAAAAAATGCCCTTTAAAAGTGGAATGAAAAAGTACAGCGAAAACATATCACATCCAACCAGCCACAGCTCGAGTCCTCCACTTGAGTGG